GACCTGATTGGTCCACCGTCTGGCACCGAGTCACAAGAAACCATGCAAACAATGCAATCATTGAGAGTGGAGTCATGACAACAGACCTTCCACCAGAGATACTCAATGGAGCATTACCACACAAGATGGACATTGTGACAGAACTTTGGTACGAACCAGAAGCAGCACCACCAACACCAGGCACAGCATCAGCTTCAGCATCAGGTATTCGCAGACCACGCGAACCTGAACCACATGGAGAAAAGAGAGAACACGAAGAACAACATGAACCAGCAGGATCACCCACAGCAAAAGCCAGAGTAGATAGAGACAAGAAGAGAAAGGCAGAAGGCGAACATGAAGATGAAGCCGAGAGAACAAGAGACATCCAGAGCATTGAGATGGCTCTAGAAAGCCTAATCCTAGAAGACAGAGAGAGAGAGAGTGCTATCTAGCATCGACCCAGAGAAACCAGTGTGTGAAGAGAAGATCCCACTGCCAGAAGAAATGGCAGAAGAGGCAAGAGACTGGTGGTACTACGATGACATCAGTGGAAAAGAGCTTCTACCTGAGAAGGTAGAGAAAGCCAGAAAAGATGAAATCGACATTGTCGAATCAATGGGAGTTTGGGAAAAGATCCCAAGAAGCAAAGTTCCAAAAGGAACCAAAATCATTGGAACTCGATGGGTAGATGTGAACAAGCAAGATGAAACCAATCCTCTCTACAGAAGTCGATTGGTAGCGCAAGAGATCAAAAGAGGCTCAGGTTTTGACGAATTTTTCGCAGCTATGCCGAGCCTTGCAGCTTTGAAGCTACTGCTAACCATCGCAGTCAGCGACAGCCTTCCATTGGAGAAAGGCGAAAGAAGAAAAGCAAAGCAATCTTTCCTAGGATTTTTAGATGTGAAGAGAGCTCATTTCTACTCCAAAGCAACAAGAGAACTCTATGTTGAAATTCCATCAGAAGGCAAGAAACCAGAAGATGGAGATGTGGTAGGAAGATTGGTCAGAAGCCTTTACGGCACCAGAGACGCACCCATGAATTGGGAGCTGACCATTGCAGAGTTCATGAAGAAGCTAGGATTTGTTCAAGGCAAGTCCAACCCATGCATCTACTACCATGCATCCAGAGAACTTCGAACAGAAGTGCATGGAGACGATTTCACGACAGTTGGAAGTTTTGATGACATCAAATGGTTTCACACTTCAGCAGCCAAAGAATGGCAAGTTGTGGAACGAGGCATTCTCGGTCCACCAGGTTCACCAAAAGCAAGCCAACAGATCAGAGTGCTGAATCGCATCATCACCTGGTCAAATGAAGGCATTTGGTGGGAACCAGATCCAAGACATGCAGAGTTGATCATCAAGTGGTTAGGCACTGGTCAACCAGGCAAGGTCAAAACACCTTTGGCCAAGCCAAGTCAAGAGGAACTCCAACATGAAGAAGTTCCGCTGAGTGCCGAAGATGCAACGATGTATAGATCTATTGCTATGAGAGCCGCGTATTTGGCACAGGATCGACCTGATCTGCAAACTGCAACGCGCTCATTGGCACAAGGTCTACAGAACCCAACATCGAGGCCCTGGAATATGCTGAAACGATTGGCTCGATATGTCAGGTATCGACCAAGAGTTGCACAGTTGTTTCCAAACCAAAGCACCTGCAACCCCTTCAACATGTGGTCAGACGCCGACCATGCAGGTTGCATAAGGACACGAAAGAGTGTGTCAGGAGGCGTGCTCATGGCCAACAAATGCTGTCTCACAACATACAGCAAAGGCCAAGGAGTTGTCTCCCTGAGCAGTGGCGAATCCGAGTACTACGGACTTGTTTCTGGAGCATGTCAAATGCTTGGAATCGCATCAACAGCAAGAGACTGGGGATTGTTTCCCAGCAAAGAGGTGACAATGGACGCTTCCGCTGGCATCGCCATGGGAAACCGTCGAGGTTTGGGACGAGCTAAACATGTTGACACTCAATACCATTGGGTACAAGAGCGCACAGCAAAGAAAGAGTTTCGTCTCAAGAAAGAAGGCACCGACCGAATGTTGGCCGATGTGCTAACGAAAGCTGTCACCGAAGAGAAAATGACTACAGCCATGAAAGGCATGAACTTCCACTACTTGGAAGGTGAGCATGAGCTGACTTTGAAAGCGTGAACGGCTTGAGCTAGAGTAGGTACTTCTTCAAGACCAAGATGTACTGAAGGGCTACGAGCTAATTCACCGAAGTGCTAATCCTGACTCGCTTAACTTCTGGGAGATGTTAAACTCGGGAGGCGTGATCAGATGTAGCACCAGTTACATGTACATGACATAGCTTGTATAGATGTATGTTTCACTGCAGCCGTTTGTTCAATCCGTTTGTTCGAGTTTGAGCTAAAAGTGGGCCTAAGCTTCTACTACAACCTTTGGGACAGTGACTTGGGGTCACAGAGTTTAAGAGCCTAAATTCTCCGTTCATTCATTTTAAAAGCAAGACACACTCTCTAAAAGCAAATTAGAATTGAATAAAAGACATAACTAGATTAGAAAACTTAATTATATTAGATTTAACCATAAACTGCATAGAAATTAAATTGAACATAAGTAACCATTAACTATAGAATAACTGTGCATGGAATTCCAATTAAAATATACTATATATATATATGGAAGTTACTCAAAATAAACGTTAAATTGAATGATAACTGAAACAGAATTAACACTTAATTACAGTAGATTTAAATAGATTTGAATTTGATTGCAATTAGAATTGACTTAGAATTAGGTCATTCAGGATGTCAATTATGTGTTGCTTTCTTAAAGGTTGTTTTCTTAAAATCACACCCCCCAGCAAAACCATCTTTCTAGAATAAAGTCATAATTAAATGATAATGCAATTTGTATTGAATTAGACATACATTTACATTGAACTAGAATCAGAACAACTGAAATTGAATTGTATAAGATCTAAATTAGCGGAAGCTAAAACATGCATTGAACTAGAATCAAATTAAGATTAATATAGAATTAATCAAACTTAAATTGGGAATCAACATAGAGTTAAGTATATAAAAAGGTAGACATTTGGGGGGGGGGTAGCATATATATATATATATATGTAGAAACATGCTATCAGATACACAAGCCTGGAAACCCAAACAACCAGAAACACATGGTTGTTCCAGTATGGCATGTGGTTGGGACTGGGATATCTTCCATACAAGCCACCGACATTGGGGATTGTGCCCACCGACATTGGATGAAAATCACAAAAACACTCCAAACACTTGGAAGGTGTGACCCACGTGCGGCAGCGAAAACGGTGCTTGTTTGGCGAAGTTTCCCGTGCCATCTCTGAAAAGCATGGGTCAAGATGGTCATGATTGAGTGAGGAAGATGTGCACCACAGGGATACATGTTCCCCGCATGGGTGAGATGAACTAGGGAGATCCCGAACCAGTCGGTCTTGGTCTGAGAGGTCTCCCCCTCTACATGCCCATGTCATGTCACATGTCACAACCTTGAGTCAAATTGGAGGCGTCCGCCTCGTTTTGGAACTCGAATTCAGCTTGTTTCGGAACGCGGTTCCCGGTTGGTTTCTGGGGACTGGTTTGTGGGAAGTGGTTTCTGGGAAGCGTTTTTTTGGGGGGGAGTGGTGAAGGCCTAAGTCTATCCCAAAGACATCCTAAAGAAGTGAAGCCCTAAGCCAAGACCAAAGAAACCCTAAAGGAGCGAAGCCCGAAGCAAAACCAAAAGAGACCCTAAAGAAGTGAAGCCCTGAGTCAAACCCAAAGACATCCTAAAGAAGTGAAGCCATAAGCCAAACCAAAAGAGACCCTAAAGAAGTGAAGCCCTAAGCAAAACCAAGCCAGACCTAAAGAAGTGAAGCCCTGAGTCAAACCCAAGACATCCTAAAGGAGTGAAGCCCTAAGCAAAACTAAAGCAGACCCTAAAGAAGTGAAACCCTGAGAAGCTCTAAGCAAAACCAAAGCAGACCCTAAAGAAGTGAAACCCTGAGTCAAACCCAAAGACACCCTAAAGAAGTGAAGCCCTAAGCCAGGACCAAAGAAACCCTAAAGGAGCGAAGCCCGAAGCAAAACCAAAAGAGACCCTAAAGAAGTGAAGGCCTAAGTCTGACCCAAAGACATCCTAAAGACGCAAAGCCCTAAGCCCAACCAGAAGAGACCCTAAAGGAGTCAAGCACTAAGCAAAACCAAAAAAGACCCTGAAGAAGTGAAGCTCTGAGTCAAACCCAAAGACATCCTAAAGCAGCAAAGCCCTAAGCCAAACCAACCAGAGACCCTAAAGAAGTGAAGCCCAAAGTCCCTCACAAGTGAAGGCCTAAGTCCAACCCAAAGACATCTTAAAAGAAGCAAGGCCCTAATGCAAGCCAAAAGAAACCCAAGTGTTCACTTGTGTAGTAAGTCCCGTGCGAAGCAATGTTCATTTTAGGGACGTGCAATGTTCATTCTTGAAGGAAGTCTCGGACGACACGCTTGTTTTGATGAAGGCTTGCGTGGATATGCGTGGATCACTTCTACTTTTAGATTTTAGAGGAAGCCTCCAAAACACTCATTTGGAAGACTTGTGTGGCTCACTTTTGGAGGAAGTCTCGTGCGAAACGCTCCTTTTGCAGCATTGCACGGCTCACCTTTGGAGGAAGTCTCGTGCGAAACGCTCCTTTTAGAGACTTGCAAGGCTCACCTTTGGAGGAAGTCTCGTACGAAACGCTCATTTTGGAGACTTGCAAGGCTCACCTTTGGAGGAAGTCTCGTACGAAACGCTCGTTTTGGAGACTTGCAAGGCTCACTTTTGGAGGAAGTCTCGTGCGAAACGCTCATTTAACTAACAAGTGATGCCTTCGAAGCGCTACCGAAGGATGTGTGTTCCAAAATGATCCGCGAAACTGGTGTCAGACTGCGGTCCCGGAGAGTTTTCTGTTCCTCTGTGGTCCAAAATGATCCGGGTGCCAAATTGGAAGATACTCTTCTATTCCGCGGCTTCTGCGAGTTTCTGGCGGCTTCTTAGAATCGCAGGCACTGCGCGTGCTGGCGGCTTTACGAGAGACCTTTTGGGGCCCGGGGGACCTGGTGGGTGTGCACCGTCCAGTTTCAGCTCCATGCGAACGGGGTGGGCGCTCGGTGAGCAGGCGCAGGGGTTCGCTGAATCGCATATATATATATATATATACCGTATATGTATCTATATCTATCTATCCATCCATCCATCCATCCATCTATCTCTCTATCTCTATCTATCTATCTCTCTATCTCTCTATCTCTCTATCTCTCTATCTCTCTATCTATCTATCTATCTGTCTATCTATCTATCTATCTATCTCTGAAGCTTTGCTTCCGGGTCCAAGGAGTCCAACACTGGAAGAACTTCTAAGGATGTTAGATGATGTTAGAAGATGTTACTGAGGACTTTGCTTCCGGTCACCCAGCTCACAGTGGATGGAACTGGTAAGTCGTCCCAGAAGTTCGTCCCACTCCTCAGCCGCTACGCATCAGTCCGCATCGGGGGGTTAACGACCCAACTTTTCACCGGCTGAGGCGTCACGGCGGAACTGAGTCAAAGCAGCGCGTTGAGTGATGAAGAAGCGAGGCGCGGGGCCTGAGGGCGGAAAAGGGGACGAAGGGGAGAGGTTTATCCGCTCAGAATGGTCAAAGAATTGTGTGCTGTGATGTGATGGATTTGGTCGTATATCATTCATAAAGGTCGACAGACAGCTATTACATCTATGACGTCTTGGTCCCTTTGGTTCTCTTTTGTTGGTCCCTTTGGAACTTGGGGCGGCCATTTCCATGGAGTTGGACCCCAGATGATGGAGGATTAGACGACTTTGAAATCCGTCGTGCGCACGACCTCAGATGGTGGTTTCTTTGTGAAGAGAGGAGTGGAGGAGTGGAGGCTGTGAGCCAATGCAACCACGGGAAAGGCCTGGTTTTTGTGTTGTAGCTTTTTGACTTCTATCGAATTGCATCCAAATCTGCGAATTCGACGAATGTCTTTCACACGGTGGAGCTGGGGATGATTTCTACCTGCATTGTCTACCTGCACCGATGGGGATGATGAGGTCTCCCTCTTCTTTCGGCATTTCGAGGTGAGGCTCCGAAGATGGTCGGCATCGGGACATGGGGTGTGTAGCTCAAGAGACACCGTTCGCGCGCCCGGTCTCGGAATCGAACCGCTTGCGGCGGAAGAAAGACACCGTTCGAGTGGCGAACGTCACTGGTGGGCTGCAGACGTCACTGGTGGGAAGCTCTCTGTGAACCGGAACAAAAGCAGCCAATAAAGACGGCCAAAGATGGTGGACAATAGGTTGAAACATGTGAAATGTTGGGCCATCTCTGAGATAGTCTTCGATGCCGGATTTGTATTTGTGGAGCATTGCCTGGTGCCTGATGCCTGACGCTGCTGAACAGATTTAGTTCTACAAATCCACCAACCCAAACCAACGATTTTCATTTGACGGAAGTGGAGGTGTTTCATCGAACCTTTAGGATGACCTTGTTGCTTGCCAACTGGATCACAAAGAGAAAACCGTCCCAAATTGTTTACACTCCTTGACTCCTTGAAATTATCGTGGAAGTCACAACCTGTTTGGTATTCGGATTTCATGGTTATCCAAGAGGCCATGCCTTAGGAATTTCCCACGTCTTCTTTCCATCCATTTGCAGGTCTTCACATGTGGATCTCCTCAAAACCATGTCAAAGCCCTCCAGTGAACCCAGTCGAGTCGACAACACCACGAACGAGTGGCACTCGTTTCATCCCCGAAGTGGAAGTCAGTGGATCTGTGAAAAGCTCGGGAAGTCAGTGGACACCCCCACGAACATCCGGTGCAAAAAGGGAATGTAACAGCACAGCTGTACGTATCTTGATGTTCCAAAGATCCCCCCGGAACCCGGCGAGAGGCCCGGTCTAACGCGTTCGGCAAGCTAGAGACGCGGTGGGCCACCCTTGGCTGGTTTCGGAGTCGACTCCTGGTGAGGTGCTTCACCCTTCACGCTTCTAGACGTAAAACCTCTTCAGGGCCTCAGAGGTTGAAACATCATCTGAGTCTACAGACCATCAACGGCACGGCTTCAGGTCCTACACAGACATGCTGCTTGGCTGGGTCTTCTTCTGGCAGGTTTGGGGTGTTGATGGACAGGGGCGCATGCAAGATCAACAAAGCATCTCCACAAACCACGAATCTGTTGAAAGATGTTGACACCAAGTGCAGGAAAGCATAGGTCATAGGTCGGTTTAGGAGCTCGACCCCAACCACCCCCCACCCTCCGCCCTTTTCCCAGAAATCCGCCGCCGTTCCGAGGAATTTCCAGAAGTTCCTGGAGCTGCGGGAGGCCCATGGCTTGGGGCCGACTTCGTGGACGGTGGTCTGGATGTTGAAGGGCTTCAATTCCGGCGGTCCGGTCGGGGGGGTTCCGCGTGTGTAGCGCGCTGGCCCTGGGTGCGTGGCGCGCGCGAGCTTCCGCTCGGGCGTGGAACAGGGGGCGACGTTCGAAGGACCTGAGCCAAGGGTCCCAGCGGAGCGAACGACAGTCTCCTGGTGCCTGGTTTGACGCCCAGCGCATGGTCCAATGGTGGTATCGTGACACCAGGCACCAGGTAGGAGGGAGAAGGTGCTGAAAGACCGAAGGATCACTCTTCTTTCACTGCTGGCGCCCTTTTTCTCCCTAGAGATCCACTGCCACCGTGGCATCGTGGCACGCTTCGGTACGACGAAACGGCCCGACCCGGGACCTGGGCGCCTACATACACTATAGGCTTCCAAGACCATTCAAAGAAAGGTTGACCTGGTTGCGTAGTGTAAAATCCTTAGTAAAACAATGGTGGTTCGGTAAAGGCCATGAAAACAATGCATATAGTCTCCCTGCTCACTGTACTAGTACCTCAGAAGGTACGACTGGATCGATGGGCACATCGGGGCACAGATCGAGGCGGTCTGGGTTTTGCATCCGTGGAGCGGAGGGAGAAGCCCCACGGATGCCACAGAGGATCCAATTCTGGCCTATTTGCTTGAGAACGGACTTCTGCAAGTTCTCCTGTAGTATAGACTGCTTGCTGAGTTGATGGCACTCTTCCTGATTTGCTGTCAAAACATGTCAAAACCCAGTTTTCCGAGAGAACTTGTTCGAGCAGAACAAGTGGGCTTGCTAAGTTCGAGCAGGTGTGATCAACCAAGGTAAGATGTAGAGAGCTTCTCAACTAAAATGAAGTATATAGAGGAAAAAAACAGTTCCCTCTCTAAAGACTGTTGACCTGAATATTTGATCAAAGAGGTGGGGCTCAAAGAACATCAGACCTAGATAGGCTGAGGTTTTACGTGTCGATTGATTCCGACCGTACAGACACCGCGGGTCACGATGCCAGGACTTCCACCGCGCGGATCGCAGCGCTTGAGGCGAGCAGCTTCGCAGCTTGGCGCTGGGCGCTGGGCGCTGGCCCCCCCCGCTTCCACAATCCCATGAAACCTGAGAAAGACGGGTGGTGGAAGACCATGTTCCGACTAACGTACCCGGTGGTTTTTCAAGGTCCATATGGTCTGAATAGAGCAGGTACCGTAGAGTTTGGGAGCTTGGGACGTTGAGTTGTTGGTAGCGAACGCATGTTCATGGAACACACCAATATTTAAGGGTTCCCCCTCCATGGGTGAATCTGCTGGCGGATTCATCTGTGCTTCTTCCAGGATTTTTTGGACAGCCAAGTTGAAGCAAATGATCCCCCAGATCTCAGGCGTATCGGGGAGAGCGACAAATGACCTGACTTTCCATGACTTTCCTGTTTTCTCAGCTGGCAGATGTACTGATATATTTACTAATTAATTACTACAATTATGATGTTATATATATATTATACATACCTAGAGCCCATTTGACCTCGTTTGTCTTTTTGATAGGAAAAGTGGTTGGTGATCCAAAATAGAGGTCATTCAGGCTCAACCAAAACCCATGCATCTCCGCTTGGAACCTGACTCCAAGCAGAGACGGCGTTTCAGCAGTTTCACGGCACCGAGTGTGGCCCTGAAACCCAAACTGGCCCCTCAAAACCTAGGGATTGGTTTGAACCCCCCGACCTGACCCCTCCGAAGCATTAGGTTTCACGTGCCCAGCTCTCACTTCGCAATGTTTGACCACGAAGTAGGTGAGACGAACTCAAATGAACTGACCTTACACCTCCTTGATGATATCGACTTCTGTCTTGACAAGGTCCGACAATTTTAGGCCAACGCGTTAAAAACCCAACATGCCATGTGCTGTGTAAGACACTGAGATCCTTCACAAGGAAACCGTCCGCTCATTGAGGTCAACATCTGGGGCTCATAAAATACCGGAAATGCTATTCCAAACATTTCCAAACAGTAGCGATGCCCTTTGTTACTAGTCGCCTCTTGCTCCTATAGTAGTAATGCCAGGAGCTACTAGTAGCCTCCTTGCTTCTAGTAGCGATGCCCTTTGTTACTAGTTCTTAAGAATTGCCTTACATCACCTTGATCAGGTTGAAGCAGGTCTGTGATCATTTAATTTACTTATCCAACAATTTCGCATGGAGCGACGCATTCGCCCATTTGCGCGCCCGCGACGAACTCCTCGAAGAATTCACCAGGCTTCTTGTGCGATCGTCGGGATATCCGTTCATTGCCATTCGGGCTATTCGTCCGGGGCAAGAGTTGCTCATGGATTAGCTGTGCTCAATCCACACGGACACAGCTCCTCGATCTGTCCATAGCCGACACACCCAAAACGCCTCACGCCCTGCGTACGCGGTCAGGTCGCGGGGAGCGGGGCATGGGCCGGCATGGGACCCTAGGATTCCCGGTCCACCATTGAATTCCAATGGGCGGTTCTTCCCGAAGAAGAACCAGGCCAGGTGTAAACCACTAGAGAGGCAAACCAAGTCGCTCCCATGTTGAAAATGGTCGGAAGCATGAGAATATCCCACTTGCCCTTCGCTGTGAGGGACTGTTCTTTCGTCTTCAGCGTCGGTGGACTCAGGACTCAGGACTCAGGACTTCTGTCGACTGGCACGTCCGGCACAAGGAGACGAAGAGGCGGTTCACACACTGGAGTCCTGCTCCGCCGTAGGTTGCCCTCACAGGTAGGTCCGGCCCAAGCTATCCTGGTACCATGACCCACAGCCAGGATGTGGTTCCAAGGCAAATGACCCAGAAATTGAATCGCTGAAGATCAAAAAGGCCATGAGTGATGCATACATACACCAACAGTTGGGTCAGGGTCATGTATCCTTTTGGTTTCTGTTTTCACACCGGGTCTGACGGCACATGACGGCGCCCACGTGCTGTTCCCCAGGCCGGTGCTGCTGCTCTTCAGCCACTTCCGCCGGAGCCGCTGCGGAGTCGAAGAACTGTTGAAGAGAAAAGGTGCGCTGCTCCCCATGCTGGATTTGGCGGCCCGCAACTCATCAGAGATCACTGAAATTCCGTGCTGCCATGTTGTTTGTGTCCATGAAATTCCGATTAGAGCGTTGGCCTTGGGAGGCTGAGACTAAGTGCACAGCGCAGCTTCACCTTTTGATGGTTCCGGTGTGACCCAACAGGGAGGCTTCAGTGACCGAACCAACTGAGAGCTCAAAGGGTCACTTTGAAGAACCAGGTATGTAAGTCTGGTTTGAGCACACCCCCAATCAGGATGTTCCCTTTCTGAGACTGGCACCAAAGATCGGGGACATGGGCACCTTGCTGAAGCAAACAGGTGGAAGTCTTTGGGATGACCTGCAAAAACCTTGTTTGCGGATTGTGGGGATGCCCCGCTCAGTCTTCCAACAGGTGGACGTTGGTTCGGTGAAAACAAATACAGGGATAGAGTCGGATAGAGGAATCAGCGAATCGCGTTCACGAATCGTGCACGATGTCTCCGATCCTCGAACGATGCGAGGCCGCACCCAGTTCAGCTTTGGGTCAGGCGTGAACCGGGACACCTGGAATGGATCAATCCAACGGCAGGACGAGCACGACACCTATCGCACCAAGGACACGAAGCAAGTAAAACCCTGGCTGAGCATGAGCATGTTTTTCGCCCGTCCTGTTTTCGGCAACACCAGGCCCTGAAGTCTGCGCTGTTTAGGGGGCGACGTCCCATTCCATGGAAGAAGTTGGGCACTTGGTTTTCGTCACCCCGGGTCTCAAGAATCCGGTTATTTTGATGTTTCTTTTCTGTTGGACTCCAGTGGCGGGATAGCGGACCTACTGTAATTAGTGCGACGTTCATGGACCCATGGATTGTCATAAAAAAAGTCCCAGAAGTTCGGCTGTTTCCACCCCCAACCCATCTCAAGTAGCAAGTGATTTCCGGTTCCACCTCCAGTCGTACCGTATCGTTTCGGGTGGGGTGGGTGCGTTTGGGTGAACAGGCACAAGTCCAGAGCCCGAACGGGATTCCGTGGTGGAAAAACGGGTGGTGTTTCACCAGGGACGCAGTGTTCCCAAGAACGCGAACACACCAGATAGAAAACGGCCACGGCCACGAAGCGAAGGCTTGCAAAGGCACACGGGTTTGGGGACGCGTCCCTTTGAGGAAGGTGGCTGCCATGTTCCGGGGCACTTGCTTCGTGCAATACCAGACCTGACTTTGCTGCTTTGAACACCACGAAATTCGAAGGACCCAATGTGGTGACTTGGAATTCTGTTGAACGCAGATCTTCCCCAAGTCGACCTCTTCGGCAACCGCTCAGTTCGTGTGGCGAAGGCTTCAGGGTCGGTCCCGTGTGGTGAACAGATCCAGTTCGGGTCACCAAAAGCATGTGGCAGTTGGTCATCAAGGCATACACCATGATGAGGGTGCTTGAAAACATAGCAGTGTCACATATTGTCACAGAAGCGTTCATTTGAAGAAGGCCCTGCTCTTCGGTTTGTAGAAAAGAAGTGATTCCCTGTTTGGCAGGGGGTTGTTCCCGTGAGGGAAAGACGTACGCGCCTGGTCCTCACGGCCAAAGCAGGGCAAAAGGGGTTTCCAGCAGCAAGACACAGCAAGTAACCCAAAGAAAGAGAACAAACCTATCTGAAACACAAACACCAAACAAAGAACGTACCACACACCCAGCCATAGAATTCGAATCACTGCACTCAGGGAGCCTGTTGACCATTTTCATTCTCGGGAGTGTAAGTCTAAGTTTGATTGCCTCAACACACACTCATCCTATGCTTTCATGTCCGCTTGCTCTGTATGTGGCACCGCGGACATTGGAATCTTTCGCTGCTCCCGCTGCCAAGACCGCTGCTCCCTGCGCTTCTGCGGTGGTGCTTGCTTTGCGGAGGCCTGGCAGCAGCACAAGGCGCTGTGCACGTCTGACTGCAGCGATGAGGAAGAGACACCTGGCCCATCCTGGCGCCAAAATTTGGTCGGGAAGGGGAGGAGCGGGGGAGCTTCGGGGAGCTTGCGCACACCAAATGGATGGACATCTTCAAGAGAGAGGTGGTTTTTTCACACCAAATGGTGTGCTCTCCGCTCCTGTGGCGCTGTGCGCTGTGGTTCAGACCGGTTCAGACCCTCGCGGTCCGCTTCGGCGTTGAGCACGGACTGTCCGGAGAGGAGACGGCGGAATCCGGAGGGTGGACCAGTGGAGTGCGGATGGAGTGAAGCAGATTGAATCAAAAGGGAACCAAACTGCATTGGTTCTCCAGAACACGTGGTTCGCAAAAAGCTCGTGGGAGACCGAAAAAAGGTGACCCCAACATGGAGCGTGTGGATTTCATGTAGACTGTTGATCAATAAACAACCCATTCATCCGGGAGTAGATAGAATACGGGAAAATCACAAAAAACAACAATAGGAAACTGGTCAGATCTACTCCACCAGGACCCTCCAAGGGGTGCCGCCCTGTCTGGAAGCCTATAGGTAGTATGGGGTAGTCCATTGGCCACCCCGACAGGAGGGTCCAGGCAGGATGTCTGTTTTATGTTCTTTTCCAGAGTCCACCAGGATCATCCTGTCTGGGGTGTCCTGGCTAGACTACCCTACCGACCCTACCCTACTAGTACCCTACCCGGCATCAATTGGGCACCGGTCGAAGTGCTAGGCATAGAGTACTGTAGAAGGGTAGAGCGCGGGACAGCATGCTGAGGATTTTGCATGGACGCATTTTCGTGTCGATCGTGGCCTACTGTGCAGCTTGGCACTGAGGATCGGATCGGCCAGGGCTGCCAGGGCTAAGCAAGCGCACCTGCAGTTTTTTCAGTGTGAATATCACCTGTTTTCGCCATAAGTGAAATCAATCAAACCAGAAATACGATTCAGACCGACATTTTACTTTCAGAGGCTTTGTGCCTCCAAGGCCAACGCGAAACACATGAACCAATGAAGAAGCACCGCCAGACCGGGCCTGAAAGCTACACGAGATGTCGGACTCGAGCCTCGAAAGAGAATGGCTGCAAGCTCCACGTGTAGAAACCATGCCAAGCTGAGTGGCAAATTGCGACAGGCAACGACAAACCGCAAAAGGTGGCCATGGCAGTGGCCTCAGCTTGCATTTGAATGACACACTGCACAATGTGCCCATCTTTGCCCCAAGTGTATTGGGCAGGGACCATGTCAAGGTGGAGCAGGCGTCCTAGCTTTGAGGTTGCACTTGAGGTTGCACCATGGCGAGCCTTCCGCATGCAAAAACGCTGGAGGACGCCTCAGAACATAGCAGAATACAGGAAATCCTTACGTAAAACACTCACTCCCAGACCAACGGATAACTAGCTACCTACACATCAACCAGGGTCATTTATGGGGTCAAGGACGTGAAGATCACGTGAAGATCACGTTGTAAGATGTGACTCGCAGGTGGGCACAAAGCTTTTCCCCCTCACCATCATCTGGTGGCACAGGTTTTCTCCACCTTTCATTGCTTTCACATGCTTTCTCTTTTTCACCGTGTGCGTCCTAACTCATGTCCCTTCACTGCATGGCCCTGGCGAAACGGCACCACCGCGGAACCCGCGTTCCACCGGTCCGGGTGCAGCGCGCAGCAGCGCGCAGCGCTCTGAGGACCCGGAGCTACCGGCGACGCTGCGCGCGCTGCTGGCGCAGGCCGCGGTCCCCGAGCGGCTCCGCGTGGGGCTCGTCTGGCAGGGCGACGGCGAGGCGGCGCTGGTGCCGGTCGGGCCGGTTCTGGCCGGGAGGGGTTCGCGCCGTTGACCGCCTTAGGGGCCAAAAGAAAGAAAACGGTCTTGTTGGGTGAAAAAACGGAGTACATCCATGGGGTGAATCTGTGGGAATGAGATGGAACGAGCTAAGCTTCGGCATGACGCTGGGAGTGGGTTTAGTTACTGTACCCTGGCAATGCCGTTGGAGCATTTTCCTACCATTGCACAAGCCCCGAAAGCAAGCAGATGTTGGTCTTGATTTCTCATTCCAGGCCTATCGTAAGGACATGTAAGGACTACTTAGTGTTGCTCCACTGCCATGGAAAGGAACGGCAAGACCTTTTCAATCTGTAGGATCAATGATGCCTACCTTTCATAAATGATTCTTTTGAATAAGTACCAAAACTACGAATCATCGCACAGGCAGCCCTGTCTTACAAGTGTGGGCAAACCTTCCGGTGAAACGAAAACTCTTTTGTACTCCACCTGAGTCTCCCTGAGTATATCCCAAACACTCCATGTGTGTGACATAAATTTACATACCTTGGAGTGGTTGAAACGGGGTTAATGTAGGCATACCTGTTGGACCACCAACCACCCAAAATATGGTCAAACTTCCTATCAAAACAGAGGTCATTCAGGTTCCAGGTATACACCAGATGGACTGCGCTCAAAAAGCCTTACTCAAAAAATATAGATAAACGTAAACTTTTAAGGCGGTAGATGTGTTTTTAAGTTTTCGTTTGGAAGCGGGCCCCCAGCAGAATATGGTGATACAGCAAGGCATGATTGGCGCTAGGTTGGCGCTAGGTTTCTTCATAACAGGATAGCAAGCAGGAAAAAGAAGAAACAAGCAGAGAGCAGGAAACAGAAGAAGCAAGACAAGAAAAAAGAAAAGCCAAGAAGAAGAAGAAGGAAGAAGAATAATAATAATGCACAACAAGAAGAAGACAAGCAAGCAGGAAAAATAGAAATCTGACAGGATAAAGAAATCGACGGAGATTTTTGCGCTAGGCTGGCGCTAGATCCGCGCTAGCACCGCGCTAGACGACGGTCCATTTCTTGACACCATTTGCCCATCCAACATCCAAATCTTTTGAGTCAGCTCTTACGTCCTTCCTAATTATGACGTTCTGAAGATTTCTGAGAACAAAAAGTGGAAACAGCTGCAGGAGTCCAGCAGCAGTAGCAGCAGCAACAGCTCCAGCATCTCAGCAGTCCGCGCTGGACACCTCTCACAGTTTTTGCAGTTCACATGCCTTCATGTTTAACATCCCTGTGGTTTAAGTGTGGTTGAAGTTTAAAGGAGATTTAGAAGCGGGCCCCCATGGAGTTGCGACGAGTGCACCATTTTGGGAAAAGACATTTTGGAAACCAACCATATACATGTGGTATTTTGACACGCACGGACGCAATCAGCACATCGAAAACAGGTTCCAGCACATCGATCAGGGATTTTTGCCGCGATTCATCCTTGAAGCAATGTGCAGCTGATCCGCCCTGTCCCTGGAATCTTGCAGAAGATTCTGTCTAAGTCTCCATGACATCTGCCCCTACAGGTCAGTTGGACCTCATTTTGCTACTCGTTGATGGTAAAAACACCACTCAGCAAGCTGAGGTTTGTCTGGGACCTACAGGTCAGACGTAGTGGACCTCTATGGGGTGTTGTTTTTCAGTCGCCTCAGGCGCCAGTCCCCCAGCACCTCTGGCGCGACGCGGCGTCATCCGCCCGTGCGGACGCGGCGTGTCAGCGAACGCTGACGCTGCCCACTGGCAAGCTGAGTGTGACCCTGTCACTGGGGCGAAGGGCACAGAAGGGTAGGTTTGGTGGGGGAAGTTCCGGTTTCAGGTGGTTTTTGAGTGGATTTGCTCATGGGCAAAGCGCGCACAGATAGCTCAGAGTTAAGAACGGTTTGCTGACTGGATCAAGTACCTTCCCAGAAGGTACGACTGGACCCTCCAAACCTACAGAACCGTGTCTCACACATCAGCTTCTCAGAGGGTTTGTGGATTCCTAAGGATAGTTATACATTCCCAGCCACTCCATGTATGGAATATATACCTACATTGGGGAGGTTTGGGGGGTCAATGTAGGCATATATGGCAGTCCCACGGAGTGGGGATTGTTGGTTGCTTCGGGTGGTAGAGAGTTCAGAGCTTGTCATCCAGGGCAGGTGTTGGCAACCACCATGTTCGTATGTTCGTATGCTTTCTTGGCGTACGATGATTTCAGAGGGCTCCATCCCATGGTAACATGTATGACTCTATGACACCTCTGAAATTATAGTACCTGGACCCTCCAAAGTACCTTAGAAAATGGGACTATTGACCCCATAAAAACAGGTACTTGTACTCATTTTCCGAGGTACTTTGAGACTCCAGGTGTATATATATATATAAAAGTTATGATTGATATATAAATGTATAGTTTTAGAATGTTTTAGATAATATACAGGCTTTGCACTCTTGCTTCTCTTGAAGGGTTTTCAAAGTTGGTCCGGGGGATGCTTGCTTTACCCGCCCCCCAAAATTCGAGGCGGGTGCGGTCTCACCACGTGCGAAAAACCCGCGGAGCCGGTGTCACAAGGCCATCCTTTTGGGCATTCTATCTGGCATTCTTTGTGGCATATCCTCTTTATTTTTCTCCGCCATACAATCTAAACATGAACTGGCATTTGATGTGGCATTTCTGGTGTTCAAACGGGCATATGTTCTGACATCCTTTCTGGCATTCTCTCTGCCATTCTATTTGGAATATCTTCTGCTATCTGGCTATCTGGCAAATCTTCTGGCATGATTCAGAGATCCAGTGCAGCTCGCTGATCCGTGCTGCGCAAGTGCCGAACTCAAAGCAGGTCGTTCTCAAATCACAAATGGACGATCTCTGCAGAAACCACACACTCCCATTGACAGTCAAACCCAAGAATTCATGTTGTGGCATAAACCGATCTCACCGCCTGTGCCCTGGAGGAAAGGGCTTGGAGGGTCTCATTTCGCCTTATGGCAATGTGACAGAGTTCATTTAACGAATTATTTGTGCTGTGTGGCTTCGGCGAAGCAAACTCTGCACTGAAAGCTGAGGTCACGGCAGCCACACATGCCATATAGGACCCTTTGGCAGACTCAATGGACTTCAACATTGCGCTCAAAAACAGATGGCCAATTTCTGGTGCTCCAGGCTTTGGAATGCTTGCACACAACCTCCAAACGTCTCGCTTTAAAAATACTGCTCATCTCTGCTTGATGTGTTCATTCTCATCCATTTGCCAAGAAGTCAATGTACCAGTCACTAGGTCACACGTTTTTCAAAATCGATTGCCAGTCCCATGAATTCCTCGCAGCCCAGGACACAGGGGGGCCACCTGCGGATCATCAATATGCGCCCTGAAGATGCCCGGGGTCCGTGCTGGGCCAGATATTTGGCGCAGCTAATGTGGGAAGGTGAGGAACTTTATCTGTCACTCGCCTTTGTTGGGTCTGGGTGCTGGCTTCTGTTATCTTCTGTTAAAAGGGATGACCCATGCATTAAATTGTAATGTCATGTCACATGATTTGGAAACACTAAACCGTGGTTATTCGGTGGCCTTTGGAAGGTCTATTTCAGTGATGTTGCCGAGCTGGTTATATGATCTTCGTATATCTTCGTCAAACATGTTCTGAACTTCAGATTTCAACCCCCCCTGACCTACCGTCAAACGTGCGTTTGTTTTGTCCGTTTTTTGTTCCAACTCAATTGGGTGTCTATGAGGTTTGGGGCACACTTGCGGGAGCTATGGCCTTCTATCAGACAGCTGGTTGGTTTTTACTGTTTCCGTTGTCGCCTACGTTGGGTTGTTAGGGGCCCAGCTCAGCGTGAGTATTGTTATGTTGGCCATGGGGACAAATGGACTTTGATTTCCTGGTTTGCGAAAACTGACACACAATCATATCATTCACAATCCACATGCCCAGGGCAAGGGCCACTTGTATTGATTCTTATTGTCCTGCCACATGAACATTTGGGACACCACTTTTGTCCCAGAACCATCCGTTTTGCCTAGTGGTTTAGACACCCAGAGTTCCGATTTGATCAGCTTTTGGGTGGAATGCAGGAGTTTTCACCTGTTTTCACCGGGCCTGCCGTGGGCTGCAGTGGCAAACTGGCGCCAATCCCTTTTGTCCGTGCGTCGGACGCGTGCATCTGTCCGCATTCTGCATCTGTCCGCGAGACGGATCGAGTGTTTGATTCTTTTCAACGGACCATCGTGGAAAACCAGTGGTTTTCAAGAACACCTCGATCGATCCCGGGTCGAAAAAGAACGACGTCTCCCATATGCTTCGTCGACCCCAACAGCGCCAGCTTGGAGGTTGAGGTTCGGCAGCCTCATGTGCTGTGTGGCGCTCCTGAGGCAGCTGGACAGCCACATGCGCTTTGTGAAAGACTGGGACTTGAAGGCCCGAGAACAGCTCCTGCACTGCCGATCTCGGTGTCTAAAGCCTGTGCTCTGCAGCGCCTCGGTGTCCAACTGGAAGGGTGGACGGGAGTCCAGATACAGCTCATGCAGCGCAGAGTTCGAGTTGACTACTCCTGATTGATAAGAGATGGTTCTCTAAGCTTGGGTTTCCAATGCATGGGAGCACCTTCGAACCATTTCACCTCGGAGGCAGGTGGCAACCAAACTCCAGCAAGGACTTTGGACGGTGATTCGGACTGCACCATCATGGCCCCACGTTCAGCTCAATGTCAGCTGTTATCGCCTTCACTTCGGACTCCGCCTGGCTGCAACGAACAAAAAAGCTTAAGCAGGCAACGACGGATGTACTTGGGGTGAGCAGCTTTTCGAAACAAAAAATAGAAACCTCTCCGAGGGTCAAGGGTCTCTTTCTTTTTCCCACCCAACAATGTACTCGAATCACTCGGAATGGGCCCGGAATGGGGACAGAAGAACACCGGTTCTGGCGAATGATACCAGCCAACAGATCAATCTGTAAGAAATATGTTTTGCAAAAGCGAAAGGAGACCTGTAGAGGAGACCTGTAGAGTCCAGGTATCCCGCTTTTGGGAGCCTTCCTTTCACTGTGCTCTGTCCGGTATAAGGCGGAACACGTCCCGCCCGGGGGGGTCTCGAGGTTATGGCCGTGCCTATCCGTATGGCCTGGCCTTCGATGAGATCCCAGGCGCAACCCCTCGGGGCTCCGGGGCGGCTCTGGGTCACCGCAATACAAATCCGAAAACCATGCGAAGACCAGGCGAAGAGCTGCTCCTAGTGAAGGAAAAACAGATTGAATGCACTCTACAAACGTCCCAAACATTGTTTGATACTCTTGACACTCTCACGCAAAACTCTTGCGGGATACGCGTGGGACACTCACTCTTGCGGAAGACTCCTGTGGAAGCTCCTCTCGTGCGACCCTTCTGGCGGCAGACCACAGACTAGACGCAACAACCCCTTGCGCCTCCCGGACCCTCATCCGGCGACACCCAGCGACACCGGCGTGGTGTAAACCACCGAATGGTGCGACACCCTTCGTCGTGGTCAAGGCCGCACGGCATGTGCCGACACATCACACGGTGATGTCGCCACGTGAGGTGTGCCACAGACTATCGATACCACCATCTACTCGTCACCGTCAAGGAGTCAAGGAGCACCGTCAATCATCTCACTCCCTATCCCAGACACTCCATGTATAGCATATATGCCTACATTGACCCCCCAAACCACCCCAATGTAGGTAAATATGGCATACATGGAGTGTCTGGGTATAGTGACCACGCCGCGTTTACACCAATGTTTTCTCGTACGCCTTCCCCCCAACGTCAGTTGTGCCCGTCGAGACCTCCCCCCCAAGTCGTTACATGCCAGACACCTACGTCGCTTCTGTGCGTATCGAACGAGAGGGAGACGTTGTGGCCCCGAAGCTTCAGACCTGATCTGAACAAAAGTGGGAACACCCATAACACCCAGACACTCCATCAAACTGCCATATTTACCTACATTGGGGTGGTTTGGGGGGTCAATGTAGGCATATATGCTATACATGGAGTGTCTGGGACATGTACCAGGACCCTCCGTTTTCGGGGTGCCCTGTCTGGAAGCCTTTTTCGGCCGGTCGTGTGGGGTAGTCCAGCCAGCACACCCACACCCCGACAGGAGGGTCCAGGTATAGAAAGCGTTCTTGTTCCGCTCCTCCGAACTCGCGCTTTATACAAAAATGCTTGGACCGTGAACAAGCCGAAATGGAGAGTCCTTGAGGGTTGCTTTGGGGTGACACAAGCGAGTTGATGGATGTCTTGCATGGACCAAAGTTTTGTTGGCTGCTTCAAGCGCAGAAAGTTGCAACGAAGGCTTTGTAATTGACGTCCTGTACTTGAAAGGACAGATGAACATAGGGGTAGAGTGCAATGGTTCATGTTCAACTGTTGCTTTGTCCCAGACCTTATAGAGGCTGAAGCACATGTCAGCAAAAGGTCTCCTAGATCAATCGCGACCGTGGGGTGAACATACAAGACTGGCTGAATTGATGGTTTCTCCCTTGTGTAGACAGTCATGATCCCTTTCATGGGGCCCTCAGCTTGAAACGCCATGTTCCTGACGGTTCCTGACGGTTCCTGCTTTCCTCTCCTTACAATATGAAGTTCCCCTCCCTCCAATATAAAACAGTGCGAATTTGTCAGCAGAGGGTACTGTTTGTATTTGGATTCGCTATTGATGGCGACCATCTGCATCTATTTTGGATGCTTGATCAGTAGGAAACCCATATGCCTGGGTGAGCTATGAAACATGCTCAATACAAGAGGCAAATGAGTCAAAGACTGAAGGTATGCGGTATGCGATATCCAATGTTCTCACAACCAGCATCATCCACTTCTGCCAAACCAGCATGGAAGACGGACGTCTGTGGGTCATGGCACCCGTAGCCCGAATCACCCGAAGCACCGGGGGCGGTGCTATGACCCATGGGAAGCACATGTTGTTTCGGCATTCGATATTTTTGGTGGACGGTAAAGACCAGGGCCGCATGTGTGTGCACATCCAAAGAAGAGTTGAAAAGATTTGGTTCGTGGGGTGTGTGGAAAACGTATATATATATATATATAATTTAAACTATAATTATACTATACCATGCAGCGATGCAGGAAGTTTTTTTGGTAAGGCCCTTGAATATATTCTTCGGGCAAAGGTTTCTGTGAGGATTTGTCACATAAAGCATGTGATGTGCCATAGGGCAATGTGGCGTGTGATGATTTTTGCTGCGGTCAAGTGTAACGTGGAGATGTCACGTACTTTGAGATAAGTGCTTGGTGATGCAACATGACGTGGTGGTGTCACAAAGCGTTTTTCAATATATGTTTTGAAGCCAGCTGAACACCATGGTCTTTGATCAGTGGCTTGCAGGGGAAAAGTACAAGTCTGGTGATTTTATAATGGAGGATCTTGGCTATCCCGAAGTGTCTCAATTGAAAACAACTTGAGTGGTTTTGAAGTAGGTGAATGTATTTTAAGATATCTTAATGTAGACTCTTGATTCTTCTAAGAGCGTTTTTCGAGTACAACTCCTCAAACAGTTTGGGGTGGAACGGCCTGCTCCGACCCTCTGGTGCGTGAGCAAGTGGAGCACTTGTTTTTCCTCGGAGCCGAGGATTTCCCACACCACATCCCTTCAAAACTCCGGTTGATGACTGTTGAATCCCCACCCGGGTCATCACGCCCCAGTGGAGATGTAAAACAATTTAAAACATGGCTTATTCCGGTGAGTGAGGGACAAAGGGGTCCTTTCATTTGCATCCGTTGACCGGTGGACCGGAGAAACCCCGTCCGGCATCGTCACAGCTTCGACTGGCTCGACAGGCTCGATCACAGGTTGCTTGAACTGTGCGGCCTTCTTTGATCAACACGATGCTGTGAACTGAACACCGCCAGGTTTCGGTTTTGGGTTCAAACGGAGGAACAACAATAGGTCGTCGTTTCCCAGTGAAATGCTCTCCTGAGTCGCCGTGCCGAAAAAGAGAAGGGACGGGTCTCCGAAAGGCCAAGGTGAAATGACCCCAATTTGACAATTGTGCTATAACCCTAGGGCTCCAAGTACCTTCTGAGGAGGGGCTTTGGGGTGGGTGCCAGGAGGGGTCCAGTCATCCCTTCTGAGGAGGTACAGTACTTGGAGGTGTAGGGATAAGGAAGCCAGACCAGATCTTGGATCCGTTGGTTCTCCATCAAGTTGGAAAAACACTTCGATTGCTACCCAACGACCGGCGTTTTGGAACAGAGTCGGACCGCAGGGCTTGAAGTCGGACCGCAGGGCTTGAAGTCGGACCCGCGCTTGGGCCAGGAGGTTGGGTGCATGGGATCCTTAAGGTTTGTGGCAGCTGAAAGAGACATACTCCCTTGCAAGATTCACATGGAACCGGAACAAACCGGATGAACGCCACAACGAAAACGACGAAAACATGGGTGGAGCTTCTGCTAATTAGTCCAAAGGCCCATTTTCAGGTTCCATGTGGGTCTCTTCGTAATTGATAGCTGCATTTTTGTTGGTTGTGTGTGTGTGGAGTACTGGATGTTGGTATCGCCATCCAAACCACAAGTGCTTAAAATCCCCAACGTAACGTGCTTGAGATCACCCAGCACCATGACTTGTTGTTCGCGCTGGGAGTGCAATGGGAGTGGAAAAGCGGCGGAGAGATGTTTCACCCGACCTACCCAGAGTTCACTTCATCACCTGGTTTTGCTTGAGGTGCTGTAGATTTACTGAATTGGATGGTCTAAAGAACATTTTTTACCGCTTCTCACAGCCATATCTTCTAGCCAGCAGCCTACTGGTCTACAGAAAAGCAACTCTTCTATCGTGGTGAACGCCTGTCGTTCCGTTGTGAAAGAGCATCTCGCTCCATTCAGCGAGCTCGACCCATCAGAAGGCTGAATGAAAGACATGTGTAACGGCCCAAGAGGATCCAATGAAGCTGTACCCATACACTCCATGGGAATGGAATATATGCCGCCCCATTGACCCTCCTGGCACCACCCCTGGCCTGATCGGCATATATATATATATATATGGCAGTCCCATTAGTCGCGTCTGGGGTATACTTGAAACTTGCAGACACCTGAACCACGAGCTTTGTGACATATCCATGTACTTGAAGGAGCAGTGAGTTTCTTCTTTGTGTACTCATGGTTGAACAGCAGCTTCTGCATGCAGTGTGAAGTTCTTTAAATGGAGGCGGGTCCCATCCACCCGTTCCTGGAAAACACTGAGGACATCTTGAACATCCGATACAGGTCCTTGGCGAAGGATTGGCTTGAGCCACTCGTCAACAGCGGAGCGGAGCGGAGCTTGCGCTTCACATGAGTTGTATCGCTTTGGATTGCCAAGAGTCGTTGCGTTTGGGGTGCAAGACCTAACCCCCCGCGCCGTACCCCAGATTTCATCCCGGCGCGATGGACCGTCATCCGCTGGGAAACAGTCCACAGGTGCGACTGTGCCACGGCGGTGATCCGCGGTGGCTTCGGTCGGACCGTGACGCCCCCCAGGCCCAGAGAGAGCCACTTTTGGTCGGCGCACTTCTCCTTCAGCTCGGCGAAGGTCTTGAAGGAAGTGCCCTATGATCCCAGCTTCTTGACTCGTTTGGGTCGGTTCACCTGGCTGGTTTCGCCTGGTTTCGGTGGGGATCTCCAGATGGTCGGACACTCCGGACGAAGGTCCAGGGATATAACTCGAGTTTAGATGAGTTTTTTCTGCGCGTTTCATTACCCTGTAGACTGGTGTTTTTTCTGGATCTACCATGAATTGGTCCATTTTGGTGTTTTGTTCCTACCCTTTGACTACCTGACGTAGTGGAAGGTTTGGGAGGGGCAAGACTCAGATCGCAAGCTGGCCGTGTGGGACCATCGGATACTTTGAGTTTTGTCTCACAGATGTTCCAAGTGGCATGTGGGTGTGTAATATTTTTTTTGCAAAACAGACCCCCGAAATCTCGGCCCTGGCTGGGTAGACGGGTCAACTTTCCGAACCTTCTGAGGGAGTCGGAAGAAGTGGTTGGAACCCTGGCAAGCTTACATCTGCCTTTGATCACCCTCTCAGAGTGTATGTGACGGGAAGAAGTCCTACTTCCATATATATAGGGTCTTTCGTTCTGAAGTTCTGAGGGTCTCGTTCTGAAGGAACCCTGGCACCCTTCTTTTTTTTGTTCTTGTCATGCGCCATGAGTCATGCCGCATGACTCTATTCCCGGACTCCCGGACACTCCATGCGACTGCCATCTACGCCTGACCAAAACCACCCCTGGCCTGCCCGTTTCTCGGGCGGCCATGGAGCGTTTGGGACTGACTAAGACAGACCTCTCGATGAATTCGAGTGGTCGATTCCACTTCCACGTGCCACACCCGGTGCCGACCCGACGTGCCCACCCCACCCAGTTGGTACCCGACGACGGTCGACGCAGTGAAGAAAAGGGACGACGAAGACCTGAAACGACCGGCTTCGAGCCCAAATTCAACCGGCTTCTGGGAGAGAAAGAAAAGAGTTACCAGACAAAGTGTTTTTAGACATCAAACATTTAAACAAGACATGCAGACACCTAAGAGTGATGGTCTCCCACCTAACAGCGATGGCCTCCAAACCCCCTACTACAGCGATGGCCTATTTTCCTCTTGTGGGAGGGCCTTTCGGGAATGAATGCGTCGAAAGTCATCAAGCTTCGACGACTGCTGATGACTTGAGGCTTGCTGATGCTCTTCTTTGGTGTGCACTGGGCGAATTTCATGATGGCCTAGCTTTGGTCGGCCCCCAATCCACCAGTGGGACTAACCCACCAAGCCCCAACCAGCCGCTTCGGGGCTTTGCATTTGGTGACCTCCAAACAGCTTGGAGTGGTGAGTGTGGACCTTTAAGTCGCATCGTTCGTAAGGACGCGTTGCCCGTAACACGGGAGCGCAAACAATGGTTGGTCTAAGGAAGAAAACCACAACCTGGCTTTGGACTCCTTTGAAACAGAATGTCTTTGAAACACAGAAGCTCTTCTTGTCTAACTTATACAACACTTGAGTACAGCTATAGTTCAGGCATCCACTGCAATGGGATCTACTTTTTGACCAGGCTTGCTTGTAATCACCGCTATTGTATGACATTCTTTGATTCAACGATATGGGCACAGGTGTAGTAGAGTTGCAGCTTGGAAACCATGTTGCACAGCTCCAGCTACAGGTGGGCTTCAGGTCGTTCGGTTCTGACAGATGATTCTTACAAAAGGAAGCAAGCAAGTTGTGTAGCGTTTTGTTTACACATTCCCCAGACACTCCATGTATGCCATATTTACCTACATTGGGGTGGTTTGAGGGGTCACACGAAAGCTAGCCTTAGCTAGCTGGAGTTGCCCGGCTAGCTTTCGTTCACCCCCTCTGGCCTCAAGTTATGTAGCGTTTGGTTTACACATTCAACAGCACCCATCCAGCGGAACAGGTGCGGAACATGGACGGAGTTTGGGTCACACACCTGACTTTCGGAGCAGGGCGAAGGACGGGTACGATCTGGTGTGGGGCGGACTGATACTGAGCACAAATACTGGGCCAGTCTGATCTGGTGTGGGCAAAGACCATATCAAACTGAATCCTGGACACCGGATTGTCCATTCATGTCCATTCGATGCCAGCCAAATGCGTCCAAAGCTCACTAGTCCTGGACAGAGCGCCGGAGCTTCAGGCGAGTTCTTTCATGTTCCAACAGAGGTTGAAGAACCCTAGTTCGACTATTCCAGAACCTCTCAGCTCACCCTCTCAGGTCACCTCCCAGAGGCTCAACAAGAACCCCGGTCCGAGGAAGAGATCCTCATGACCGTCCGGCTCTATACCCATGGCTGGGACCTCTTCAGCCCGGCCGGAGGTCTCGTCTTCCACCTGTGGCAGCGAGACTACAGGCGGTTCCCGAGACTACGGTCGACGTCAAATCCGAACCTGCGAGACGTGCCATACCGGCCACGCCCCACGTTTCAAAGAATGCCTTGAACTTAAAAAAGCGGTTACACTCCATGACAACCAAAAATAGTCTCACCCCCCAGAGACTATTTTAACAATAGTCTTCGACCCCCAGGGTAGAGTGAACTTTGGCTCAAGAAAGAACAGAGCCGACGCCGCGTCGCGTCACGCGTCGCATCGCGTCGGGTTCATCGTTTCCACTGCTGACGCCTGCTGACTCCATCGCCAACGGCGGACGAGATCGAACAATCCGTGGAGGCGGGTCTATGCTGAGGACTTCACCGAGCTGTATCAGCGCCTCGCGCGCCGCGCACGCCGGCGGTTGCAAAGGCTGCTGGGTGTGAGCGGCCGTGCTCCCGCATTCTTTGAGGAAGCGGAGGAGCAGGTGCAGCAACAGCAGCGCTGGCCGTGGCCGGGCGGAGGAGACAAAGGAGCCGAATCTTTTGGAAGCTGGTCCGGAGAACAGACCTGCGCGGCGCAATGTATTGATGTTTCGTTGGATGTGAAGAGCATTGTCATTGGAATGTTGATGATTTGCGTTGTCATCAAGTGTCATTGGAGTGTTGTCATTGGAGTCCTTGGAGCGTCATTGGAACCTTGTCAAGCTAGTCATCATTTGAGTTGTCATTGGAGTGTTGATGATTTGTGCCAAGCTGGGAAGATTGTACGTCATGCGGAGGGGCAGATTCTGAAAGTAGCTTCCACGTTGCTGAAAAGCTGATCGCTTGGTTGACGACACCAATTTGTGTCGTTCTCCTGCATCTTCGAGCAAATGCCACGGCTTTGTTCGTGGGACATTGTAATTAGTAATGACTCTAGTCGTGTTGGCTAGGTCTTGAGCCTTAGGCCGGCATAGATGTTGCATGATGTTGCAGTTTGTTGGTGAGGGGAATTGTTCTCGTGGTCATTGATTCGACACCCAAGCCTTGCGGAAGTTGCTTGTATAGTGCTCGACTCTAGTTGTCGATGGATACAGCTCGGGACATGCAGGTCGCAAGGTTTTTGTGGTCCCCAGCCGAGGATTGGGTGTGGCGCGACGAGTTGAGGATTATGAGACTCGGAAAGTCCAGTCGTCAGTGTGAGACGCGATCTTGCCCATCCGGGTCGTAACATCATCTACTGGTACCAGATGGGTTGAAAGTGACACCACACTTTTTGTATCCAGAACTGTAACGGTTTCAGTGTTTTTTTCCACTGTTTCACGAGACACCTGACAAGAGCCTCCCGTAGCTGCAATTCCACTTAGGCTTTGAGTTGTTCCATATCCCACATCCAACGCGGAAAGGACATGTTTTACTCTGCCGTTGGTGAGTGGTTGAGCTCACAAGCAAACAAAAAGCTTGCCCATTTGTTAGGGTCCAAACAATTTAGCCCAACAGCTGGACAACTTTCCTCAGACAAACAGCCAATCTCGAAGATCGCATTCATCTGGTATGATTTGGAGATGTATCAATCCTGGCAGACAGATGTGAACTCAAACTCAAGCCACATCTGTCATGACAAATGAGGTCATGACACATGCTCTTTCCATGCAATTTCCATGCGGATTCCACATCATTCCTGGCCCCCCTTACCCATGCAGAGAACTGCCCATGGCTCTTCAGCACAAAAACTGCCCCTCACCTCACGCACGGTAGGTGAAGAAGACGCTGGTTCCCCCTCCCTAGGGCTCCAGTCGTACCTCCTCAGAAGGTATGATTGGACCCTCTAAACCCACCCCAAACGCCTTCGAAACGAAAGTATTTGGAGCCCTACCTTCCACCACGCAGATGCTTCGCCTCGTACCTTCCCGCGTTCGACCCCGGTCGGTCGACCGAGGAGGCGGTGGCCGGGCTCAGTTTCGCAGGGCGCTACTTGAGTGCCAAAGCCCTCAGAGGTGGCGCAGACACCGAGGAGGTCTTTGTGACCACGGAGGACGGCAACCAGCAGCTTGGACGGCAACCGGCGTGTCCACATGGAGCGCAGCGACCGGTTTTTTTCAGAACGGGTCCTCCTGGGAGATGTTTTACCCTCCAGAACGGGTCCTCCTGGGAGATGTTTTTCATGCAAAAAAATGATACAAAAACACTGTGTTTTACAGTGATTTCTTGCAAAATCCTCTCCAAAATTGAGGTTTTGAGCTATTTTTTGATCAATTTTGTGAGATCCAAGCCTATCCCAATTTAGAGGGAATACCAAAAAACCAAAAAACCAATAAACCAAAAAAAACAATAAACCAAAAAACCAAAAAAACAAAAAACCAAAAAAAACAAAAAACCAATGTTTGACACAAAATGCAGCCAACATCCAAAAACCAATAGTGACCCCATTTTGTCTCAAACATTGTTTTTTTTGTTTTTTTGGTTTATTGTTTTTTTGTTTTTTTGGTATTCCCTCTAAATTGGGATAGGCTTGGATCTCACAAAATTGCTCAAAAAATAGCTCAAAACCTCAATTTTGGAGAGGATTTTGCAAGAAATCACTGTAAAACACAGTGTTTTTGCTTCATTTAAGTTTAACGGTGGAATTTGATGTTAAATTGGATTTCAATTGATTTTGGTATTAGACTTCAATTAAACGCTTTCAGAATTATTGGTGGAAGTTGATTTATCATTCGCTTTCTATTAAAAATGTGTTTAAGATTAATTGTAGATTTTTTACAAACTAAGTTTCATTTATATCATTGTCAAAATCATTGGGGAAATTGATGTTTATATTAGATTTCAATTAACATTTCTTCAAGATTAATCATAGAAAAATGAATGTGTAATTCAACTTCGATTAAATGCCTTTTCAAGATCATTGTGGCAATTGATTTTGAATTAGATTTCAATTAAAATCCTATTATATTTCATTCTAGAAATTAGGCATTACTTAAATGTCAATTAATATCCTTTTCAAAATCATTGTGGAAATTGCTTGTTGTTTAGATTTTAATTTAAGTTCTTTTCAACATAATTTGATTGAATTGCTTGTGTATTGGATATCAATCAAGACCCTTTTAGAATTGATTGTGAAAATTAACTTTCAGTTAATAGTTAATGGTGGACATCAATTCTTATAATTAGATGTTAGTTAAAGTCCTTTTATTTGATGTAGCCTTGTAGTGGGGAGCAAACAGATACAAAGTCAATTCAAGTTAGTTAAGCATCACAATTTCCACAATTGATCTTAAATCGACTTTAAACACAATCTGATATTAAATCAAAGCCACCACTAACTTTGAAAAGGACTTTGACTAAAATCTAATTGTAAGAACTAGTTTCCACAATGAGTTTTAAAGAGAACTTGGAAATTATTTTTATTGCAATCTAATATCTAATAAATAGCAAATTCCACAATCAATGTTAAAAGGATCGTGATTGAAATCTTCTAATTTGAGTTTGCCTAATTCTATTTTAATTCCAGTTTAGTTAGTTTAAGAACACACATGTTACAAAACCCTATATTTTACAGTGTTTTTTGCCCTAGGAGTGCTGGGAATAAGACACAAACTATGTTTTTGAGTAGATATGTTTAAAGTAATCCCTTGGAATATTCATTGCTATATTAAAACTGCTTTATGTACAAACTTCTAATTCAAAAGGTTCCCTCTAGATCTGATCACTTCTGTGAAAAAATATAAAGCTTTCATTTCAAAAGCTTTCCTCTGGATCTCTGGAAATAGTCATGGTATTTTAAAAAAGCTATAAGTATGTATGTAAGTGTTTCTTTCAAATGCTTTCCTTCAATGAAAATACACAAATCTAGGAAATCTACTTTCCTAGAGATCCAGAGGAAAGCTATTGAATCTAGAGATGTATAGTATTATATCTTCATTCGCTCATGATGCTACATTCATTGTGGGCAGAGAGAGATTTACCTGATAATATTTATCATTGGTGTTGCACATTGATAGTGGGCAGACGAAGAGCTGTTATTTGTTGTCATTGACATTGGACATGGAGACTGGGCACAGACAGATCCAAAAAATTGCGTTTTGCCTAGTTCTCAGAGCAGTTTTTGACATTTTGCACGGTATTTACAGTGTTTTCTAAGGGTTTTGAGCTAGTGTGTGCTCTCCCAAGCACACCCACCCTCTTTTTTTGGGGGGGTGAAGGTGAACAACAACAGCTTGGTGCATGTTTCTTGCGTGTTTCGGTAAGCAAAACACATTGGCAACATGTCAAGTTTCGACAGAACTGGCCATATGCCAGCCTTCAACCCTTCAAACAAATCAGTTTAGTGACTTTAAGAGAAGGTATCTAGGATCAGAGCAGAACAGCGATAGATAGCATGTTCATCGCGAGCCGAGTGATAAGTTCTTCCTGCGGTGGAGAAGAATCGTCTTCCGGATATAACGTCGATGGAACTGTGATTGTTTCATGGAGTGTAGTTCTGTGATCAAGTCCGGCTTTGTCTCAAGGTGTCAAGGAGTGATCTAAGTTTCGTCGGCGAGTGGAATTTGCTAGGCGTGGTGAAAGTGCAGGGCGTACAAACTGACACCCCACATAACTGTCCCAACAAAGCAAGGGGGTGTACAAAGAGGATTCAGGGGATGCCTTAGATGCCACTTGAAAATCTTTCCGCAAGCCGTGGATAGCCGTCCGCCCATTCCTGCTGGCGGCAGCGTGGATATTTCACAGTCAATGAATCTGATCAGATTCAAGCTCGCCTTTCCCGGACTGTCGCCACTCAGCGGCTAGGTGGTGGTTTCGGATATGGTTCTTTTCAACCTTTACTTGGGATGATTGAACCCACTGACTGACTAATGATGACTAATATGTTTCAAGCGAGTTGAAACAACCAACCAGAAGGAAAGGATGGTTCAAAATAGATGGGACAGTAGATGGGACATGTTTGGATTAACCCATGTGGTTGCGGATGATGTCCAGGGCCTTTTTCAAAGGTCCGGGTCGCCAAGGCGTTTGATCGAGGATCAATGCCAAGAGGAGATGCGCCAGATGCACGAGAAGCGGCAGATGGAGCGCGGGTCAAAAAGTGGCATCAATCAAACGGACACCCAAGCAGTTTAGATCTAAGACGAGCACTATGAAGGTCTTCCCAACTGTACTTAATTGTTGTAGATATCCTAAAAGCATCCAATCAAAATTATCAATGGCTGAAGTACTTGGAGCAGAAAGCACTTAGCTGGGCGTCTGATATCTTCAAAACTGTTGCCTTATGAGCAATTCACATACAGGTACAGTGGAGGGTCATGGTAGATCAACCGGCTTTCGAACATGGTAACACGCCGTCACACCCCCATTTTGTTGCTTTGAAGGGCCAATTGAAGCTGTTTCCAGCGTGGCATGCGTCTCTACAAATCCCCCTGCTGCCCAGACGAGTGCGGTCCAAATGCTCCGCTCGGCCTCTCGAACGGTCGCGAATGATCGCGGCAGGTGGCGGTGGCTTCCACTTCGGTGGGGGGTGCGGAGCGCCTAGAGTCGGTGCGGATGGAGTTGGTTTCCGCTGGCGGAGCGTGGTACCACGTGGATCACGAGGCAAAGGGGTAGGAACCCGAAACATTCGGGTCAGGGGGTTTCTCACCAATCCAATAGGTTTTGAGGAAGAACCGGGCTGTGAACGGAGCGCCAGTGGGGCAGGTCGGCAGGTCTTGGCCTCTCCCCACTGAATGGCTGTGGTGGGCTGGTGATGTGGAGTGACACTCCCTGAAATCATCCAGCTTCTTCCAAGTGACCTCTTTGGAGTCCCTAAGTGACTAAGTGAGATATTATAGGCCTAAGTGACCTCAAACCAGGG